GAATTATTATACACATATCAGGGAAAAGCATACTATCTTTAACATATATTATCAACTATTATTATACATTACGATTTTTAGATATTCTTTAAATACATTCTGTTGTGCAGTATGACTGATTACCTGGAATTGTCTCGATGCTGTGTTGTCACACACTTGAAAGCGCTCTTTCAAGTTAACTTATTTTACTTTTTTATTGAAAACATTTCTTTTAATTGATGTAAAGATGATTTCAATTGATGTCAAATAAACACACGAGTTATTGGTGATTGGCCTTGTCATTTTGACCAACGGTAAAGTGACGAGGTCGAGAAATGAGCTAGTACTTCACGCTCCAAACTTCTACATTCCATCAACATGGTGTCTTTTGAGCTTTGTTAGGTTTAACGAGTATCAGTGACTTTACACGGCGGGTCTTTAATGTCAGGGAGTGAGTGAATATTAACGTCTCCCTCTTCAGCTATACTCGAGAGCTTTTGGCGACGGACTTGGTCATTTTGAACTATGGTCAAGAGACCAGGTCAACATCTGAGCTGACCCTCCACTCTTCTAATTTCCACACCGCACCAACGGGAGGATGTTTGAGCTTTGATATTTAACGTGCATCGCCCCCTACACGGCGAGTCGTTAGTACACGCCATGTAAGTGTCACAATCATGAATCACCGGCCACGAGTCCGTTATCTTGACCACTAGGCTACCCCAGCCTCTAGATTTTTAATGGCACCAGCACTCAAATATATGCCTCGGCAGAAACAACATCGGCCACGTGTCCTTAGCCATGATCACAGCCACGACATTCTTTCGAAGATCATGACTATAAGAGGAAATGTTTGAAAATATCAGCAAAAAAATTACTGGAATGTTATCAATTGCATCTGTACTTTCTTCAGATTCTTCGCAGTCACTTTCTCTCAATCTTATATCTTCATAGAAATCAGTCATCTAACCACCTTCGAATTCCTTCTCGGAAAGCTCTCACAACAAATTAGCAATTTCATCGGGGCTTAGACCTTTTCTGTGAGTCATCGTTTCAGGGTTTCTGCTGTGCACAAGGTTCGAAAATTAAATGAACTCTTTTAATGAGTTGATAAGGAAATTCTAATTTACAAAACATTTAGATACAACGATTTTAGTATAACTGATTCATTTCCGCTGTGAACCTAATAACACCGCCTTCAAAGTCAAACTAATGTGCAAAAGTACTTTAGGAAGTTTGCTTTTCTAATAATACCTACTTAGCGAATTGTCTTTTGCTGAACGATAGCTATTTATAATGATAGCTATTTGTCTTGGTGTTGAAACGACACCAGCGGCCGTTTTAGATGTAAAATCTCTCTAATTAACCTAGAACCACAAAAAAAATTTTGTGCAATCAGCATAAAAAATTATTAGCCACGAAAAGATTTCAAATTCCATACAATAATGCGGAAAGGAGAGCAAACTAAAACATGCTCCGGGGACCAATCGACACTGACGGACGTTCCAGTGTTAATACACCAATAACGACAATCTGAAATTGAAGTTTATTTTTTTCTAGATTCGTCGAATTCCATTATAGAGCGTCTGTCTTAAATTGTGTTTATTTGTTCTCCAATTTATCCACGTACCGGTTAAATTTAATCGATACCATTCCTTGTAAGTGAGTTGAAAAACTCATGTTTTTTTCCCTCCTACACCAATACAACAAAGCGGTCAAAAAAGCCTTTCTCCTATGAAGTAATCACAAAAAAAAAAGTTCTCATTGCAAATGAATGATTTCCGATGAAGACTCGAAAGCAAACAATAAACAAAGGTTAACTAATGACGAAAAAAACAGAAGAGGCCTTTTTCTCTTTTATATGTACTGAGGTGATAAATTTAACGGTACTTTTTCATTTATTTCGGGATAGCAAAACAAAAATATTCTCTTCTTGCTTTTTTCTTTTTATTTCAAAGGGTATTCAATAAGTGTATTAATATGTATAGATTGATTTTCAGTAGTCAGGAAATAAACTTTTCTTCAATTTTCAATAGAATACAAAAATTTTGCTGCTTCTTACAACCTGAATTAGTTTCTTGCATTATATATTTTAGTCATTTCTAATCTTTTAGTGGCTTCTTTTATACTTATTAAAAGACTACTATTTGATGATCTTAATATTTTGTATGAAAAATATATATTGAAGTGTTATTTAATTTTGTTCGATATAGAAAATTCCTAACTTTTTTCTATTAACTGACCCGCTAACTTGAAGTAAGTAAAATCAAACATTGATTATTTAAAAAATTACTTGCAATTTTAAGCATCAAATTGTAAGAAATATAAAAAAAGTAATAAACATTAACAATTATTTTTTCGGATGTATAATATCTGCACAGCTACTTTAATTATTAGATATTGTTGCAAAGGAGATTTCACTGGAAGTAATAACGTCCAGGAAAACAAATACATTTCAACACAAAGATTCCGATTCGTCACTACAGATCTTTCCCTTGAGGGGAGGGGAACTCGGGTATTAGTTTCGTCACTTGACCAAGGTTCAAAATTTTGAAATCCATCACTAACAGTCCTCACATTGCTCTAAAGTGCGATATTAATACACACAGGTTATGAATTATTTAATTTATAATATTTTCTCAAGAACAACATAGTTCATATTATTCATCCCTATTATATATATTTTTTGTAAGCTCTCTCAAAGTTTCTATTAGGCCCTTCTCGGCTTTTCCCGAGTTGCGTATGGGCAAACAAAACGTAACATGTCTAGGTACTAAATGCTACTCAAAGAGGGACAGCAAAGGGAAGAAGGTAGAAAGAGAAACAAGATTCTACTGTCCAGAGGGTGATTTTTGGTTGAGTGCAGCACCATGTTTTCAAATTTATCATACACGATCAAATTTTCTTTAATAGTATCATAATCAATTATGTAAATGCAAAAGGTGTAAATAAAATTTGTAATTCAAGATAATAGCTAGGTATTCTAAGCTTTATATATAGATAGTGGGAATTGACTATAAAGTCTACAGATTTCTGCAACACAGAAAGCCAACTTTACAGGTAAATTACTCATGTAAAGATTTTTTTTACCTTTATTTTTAGGAAATTTTTCATGCGAACGATATTATAATGAAAAAAAATATGTATGTTTTTTCATACACATTTTGAAAAATATGTATGAAAGGGGATGGGAAGGGTTAAAGGAAGCAAATTCCACCAATGTGAAGGGTGGAATTCGCATTGGTGGAAGCGGTTAACTCTGGTATGGAGTGAGCGAGTGAATATTAACGTCGCACTGTCCAGCTATTCGAAGGCTGGACCTCGTAATTTTGAACCATGCTCAAGTGATGAGGACGATACTTGAGCTGGCACCCCTTCTCCTAACTACCACACCAACGGGAAGATGTTTGAATTCTCGATAGATTTAATATGCATCGCTTCCCTACACGGCGGGTCTTTAGTGGTGTTCGACTCGAACTCATAACATGTCGGACACGAGTCCGTTACCTTGACCATTAGTCTACCACGGCCAACTCTGGTATGGAACCGCTGTTCTAATTTATATTATATATGAACAAATAATTCCAGATCTGTTGAACGAGTAGCGGACCTCTTAATCAACGTCACTGATCTTCAGTGAACTACTGATGCCAAACTGTCTCAACCAAAATCTAAAAGATAAAAAGAAATTCAACTTATCACAAACGAGGAGCGTGCTTGTACATAACTTTGGATAATCTAAGATTATCTGAAGAGGAAGAAACAAATGTGGCCCAAATAATAAAGTCTATAGTTTTCCTAAAGCAGATGGAGAAGAGAATATTAACTTTAAAAAAAAAAGGAAAACTTAAGTATCTGGAAAGGAATTTTGATAGCAATATGTCGTTGTTGGAGATTATCAATCGCCAAAAATATTGACATTCACAAGTAAATCGCAGTATAAAATCTCTTTAATCCGAACTAATTGGGCCTCTAGGTCATCCGTCCATATATAAACAAAATAACCAATAAAATGAGACAAGGTATAGAGCTACACACTCTGTACAGTAAAAAGATTCATTTTGGAAGGAGACAATGCGAAAAGGCAAAAATTTGCGCAAAAAAGTATTAATAGCAATTTAGCTCGCATGATAAGCATTAGTTTGGATAAAAACTTTTTGTAGCACGGCAATTTTGAATTGAATCATTGACTTGTTATAAATGGCTGTACGGATAACCCATTGAGAATGGGAAGTTGATTGCATATTTAAAGTTTTTTTTAAGAAATATGATAATCATAAAACTGAGCAATTAATAACTCAGAAATATTTTGATTTAATATATTTGAATTTTAGATATTTCAAAAATTTAAATGGTATATCTTAATTTTTTTATTGAAATTTGAAACTAAATAAAGCTTATGCAACGGTAGAACTTACACTACAACTATACTTGCAATACCTCACACAACAACACTCAATACCTCAACATGCCACTTTGCGTTATCTTTGCGTTTATTATGTTGTAAAATAACAAGTAATGTATAAAAAAAATTAAGTCAATTCCTACTTAGGTTAACAAATAAAATTTTTATTTTAGTTACTTTTTATTAAATAATTACAATTAATATAAATATGTATATACAAATGACAGAATCACTATTAACTGGAAAAATAGAAAGCTAATTTCTTTGCAATTTTCCATTTTCCTTTCTATATAATGGTGTAGGGCTATTTTTTGTTTGTTACTATTTATTCACCTTATATATGTATATTTGTTGTTGAAATAACGCTCTTCACTGGTGCGGTTTATATAGCATACTCTTCCGCCATTTGGGATGAAATCTCTTGAATAATCTTGAGTTTAAAAAAAATGTATTTGAACTTGAATGGATGACTAAAAAATATTTTATCAACGATTGAAAATTTGTACAAGATATATAAATATATATAAAGAGAGTGAGAAGTTATGGTAGGAATTGAAAAGGAATTGTAATTTGTAATATAAGGAAATAAAAAAATGCCAACAAACGCACTATCCATACTTGGTCATCTTCCCAAGTACTCTGACCCCGCCCGATGATGCTTAACTTCGGTGATCGGATGAGAACAGGTGGTTTCAACATGGTAGGGCCGTTAGCATTAACGACTGGAGCCCTTTGGTACAAAAGAATTAGCAAACTATTAAATTTTATTAATGAATTAATATTTGAAAAAACTGTATTAGCATCAAGTGTCATCCGCTACAAGTTTAAAAAATGTTTTTGAACTCGAGTGGATGAATAATAAATATTTTATTACCAATTAAAAATTGAACAAGATATATAAATAAATTTATATACATAGGGAGAGTGTGAACTAATTGTAGGAATTGAAAAACGTGATATTATTCATAAATGAAAAGTCATTCATACTTTTCCGTATCGTCAATCAATTAAATTAAATTAAAATTAAAAAGTGTGGAAATCTTAATAGAAAACGAATTAAAATTTAATATTTTTGGGAAAAAATCCAATTTATTATTATAACAGACTTTTTAAAATCGTAACTGCAAGTATAAAAACTGTTCATTTTGGTATTGATTTTTCTTAAATTCCCAAAACTTTTAAAACTGTTAATAAAAATTATTACTGTGTAGTACAGCTTAACACATTCACTGCACACAAATTGATGTATCCATCCTTAGAAGCCAAATTATAAAATAGCGTTTTGATTAATTAAAAACATTCCTTATGTTTTTGTAGTAAACACGAAAACCTTTTATTTTCATGTGTTTAGTGTTTTCTAGTAAATTTAATATTTAGGCTTCAGTCAATGTTTTCATTTACTTTCATTTTCTTAGGCCGTGAAGTTCCTGCAATACTTGTAATGTCCTCCATTTTTAAAAAAACGGATGTAAAAAAATTTAAACACAAAATTTAAAAACCAAGCACATACAATATAAAAACAATGCTTCAGTAATATGCCTCAAAAACCTCTTCATTTAACTTCCAAAGCCGCACTAAAAATAAAAATAAAGTATTTTTCTCATTTAGGTGATCGTTGTCCCAGAGTGGCACCGGCATAGGACCATGCTGACGCTCCAACAAACGTGTTAATACTCTGTATTTCTGATTCGACTTCTTATATGTAACATTTCACAAATTGCATCCTCCAGAAACCCTGACTCAATTCTCAATGGTATTTTTGAGACAGTTGTCTCAAGTTCCAAAACTAGAGAAAGTTTAGCATAACAATCAAAGATATTGCGAACATATAATGAAATGTATTCACACAAATGGTTATGTTAAACCAGATAAAAATTTAATCCTACAGTTCGTAAGAAGGATCAACTTTATTAATGGTTGCCGGATTTTATATCAAAAGATAAACACACGCTGTCCAATGAATTAGAAACCCAAGATCAATATTTTGTTGAACCACCTTTTGCACGGATAACTTCTCTCATTTATTTGGGAATCGAGTCTACTTGCTTCTGGAGGGCATTTACGTCCAGAGAATACCATGCATTGGCTATGTAGCGCTTTAGATCTTGTAAATTAGATGGAAGATGCGAGTGCTGTAGGATGCGTCTTTCCATCTGATCTCACACAGTTTCTATGTTCAGATTCGGGCTCTACGGTGGCTATGTAATGTGTTGTAAGTCAGTCTGATGTTCAGCGAATCAATTTTGAACACTTCTAGCACGATATATAGTTGAATTATCGTCCATGAAGTATCCGTCACCGTCGGAGTAAAAATGCAACATTTCTGAGTCCATTTGATCTGCCATCATACCTAGGCCTTTCATTGCTTTTTGCTTACCCTCTAGGAATACCAGTGCACCCCTTCCATGCCAACAGAACATGAACCATATCATGATACTTCCACCAAACCCTTGCACAGTGCTAGTAAGGCAAGATGGATTCACGACTTTGTGGGGTTCTCGCCAAATTTGACGTCTTCCATCAGAGCAAAATAAGGTGTGGCGGGATTCATCCGACCACATTACCCACTTTCAATCCTCCGATGTCCAATGTCTTCTTTCCCGACACTACTGCAACCGAATTTTTGCATTTCGGGCAGAAAAGAGTAGTTTTCTCATAGACACCCTACTATGCATTCCTATCTTCTGTAATTTTTTGCGCTTGACAATCAGTGTATGGATTTTTAAAAAAAAACTGGTAAAAAAAACTAATTATTTACTTCTTATTTGAATTTTTTAAAATTTCATAAGCAATAGACATGAATAAGCATATTTTTACACTATTTTTTTTAATTTTTCACAAAAATGGAGTGAGAACTTTGGTATGCGGCTTACAATCGATATCGGCTTAGATTCTAATAAATATGGCAATTCTTTCTTTAAAACGTTTTGTTGTAAAGTGAAAATTTTACTGAGCACTTTAAATGCAAAATTATTTAGTGGAAATTTATTTAATTAAAAAATTTAGAATTTAAAATGTCTTTTACCTTTAAAAACATTTTTATGCTTAGACAATTAAAAAACATTTCAATTGTGTTTAAAAAAGAATTATTAAAAAAAAAAGAACTTATTTTTATGTAGCGGAAATGTAAAATTTTTATATACCCTTTCACGCTAGAACAGTTTCAAAACCAGAATTATTCATCAAGATTTCTGAAAAGAGAAATATCACTTATTTTATATCTAACTTTCCTTACTCTTTTCACACAACACATTTCAATTTCGCTTCATTCGCCCTTCTTACTATGAAAGTATTCGTCACAGTTACCAATTGAATTTACAGTCCGATACACCAGAAATGCATTCCTGTTAACTAAATTACATCCGCAACAAATGCACAGAGTTAATTAAATAGAAAAGTGAAAGTAAACATATCGAATATCTCTTCATTAGGAGATGAACGTGTCTCAAAGCGGGGGGGGGGGGCTATTTCTTATAGCAGTATGACAACGACCCATCTTAATCAACAGCCTATTTAATTAACACATTCATTAGCGAAATTGAGTTCACATCTCTGAACCATAATGTTAAAAACTCAACCTGCTTTAACTGATAAAATTTAATTGGTCCAAAAAACTAAAGCAAAACTTAAATTGTGTAAAATTCAAATTTTAGTACCAAAATAATTCAAAAAGAAGTTAAACGCTGAACAAAAAAGAAAATAAGTTAATATAAAGATTTTTTAAGAATATCGTTATGTTTCATTAGAACAATAAAATATATTTCTGCAGTAAACCTGTTTGCAATATTACATTTTGAAGGGAAAAAAATGATCAGTGCAGTATGTTGGAAAAACTATTTTAAGAAATTAAAAGGTCTTTTGATAAAATTTCAGTCGAAGTGGATACATTTCTGTATGTCTAGTTCTCTTTCCCCGATGATCCTGTTCACGGTTATTCGAATTTACAATCTTTTTGTGATTTTTGTTTGTTTGATCAATGTGCCTTTTCCCTCATGCGTAACTTGCATATTTGATTTTGAATTTATTTCCAGCATTCGTATTCTTCAAGAGTCAATTGCCTATGAGACATACTAATAATTGTTCGTAATACCTTATGAATTCTTTACAATTGAATGTCAACAATACCAACTATGCCCGGCACATTTTTTTATTGTTCAAGTAATATAGTAACAAGGTACAAATCAAGAACCCGTACCTACAAAATTTCCTAGACAAAGCTCAAACTTGTTTTTCATGCATTCTATTTTACAAAACAGTTATAGAAACAGTTAGAAAGTAGGAGCAAATGAATACGTACTAATTATACAATGTTAGTTACAAATGACTTTTAAGAAAATACGATATAAATCCTTCGAAATGTTATTTTGATAACTACTTTATGCTGAAAAGTGAACACCAAAAACTATAGCCTCTGAAGTGATTAATATGTTTTGTATTTAGACATACTTGATTTTAGTTCAAAAATAAATAGAAAAAGTAAATAAAGGGTTATAATGTTCTAAAATAGAAATGCATTTTTTAAAAATGATTAAGAAACATCGTATAATACAAAGTAAATATTGACTTCAATTTTGATGAAATATTTTCATAAACCAGAAGAACAGTTTAAGATAAGAAACATTTTTAATGATTTTCTATATGCAACCTATTGTCATTTGTCTCCGAGCAGTAATGCACCCCATTTATAGACTGGTTTACTTTAGTAACAGTGTTTAAATTAGTTTATTTAAAATACCGATACCAGTTTTTTTCTAGATCAAAATGTATATTATAGGAAATGGAGGAACAAAATTATTTTCAAAAAACTGACACATGTATATATATAAACTCCATACGGGGTATTTTAATATAAGATAAATATTACTCGCAACTTTTAATAGATAATAACATAAAAGGCAACTGTATAAGTAACTCGTGACCAGCGCTGTGAGTTCATTATTCAAATTTTCATTTAGTGTCTCGGTAAAGTACACTTCCCGAAAAGTACAACGACCTGACCAAACAGCCGCTCGCCCTCAGCACAACTTGTAATTACGTGAAATGTACAGTAGCAGCACATTCAATATTTGACTCGATCCCAGCTACTGAATATCTTTAATAATTAGCGGGAGTTGGAGGGTGTGAAATGCACCTTCATCCGCTTACCCAGATTTTAAGGAGTCTAATCGAAAGTAAGGATCGATCCTATACCTTGTCCGATATTAACTTCTTTTGTGTCTTTTCAGCTAAAAGGTTCGATCTGTCATACATTTTTCAACATTTTAAGAACTTTATCCTAAACCTGGTGTACTTCATTACTTAATTATTCCCCTTTAAAAAATAAGGGATAAAGCTGAAGTTACACGCATTGCACATAGCAAAAATCAGTAACTGCGTAAAAATAAACCAAAAAACGCTGCTAGCTCAAAAAACAACAATATATGTAGAATGTATCAATACAGGTGTATCTAACATTAATATTAATATTGTACTCTCTTAACGTCACTATTCTATTAAAAAGGCATATATTCTCTGATGAAAAAACTAGGCTATTAACAGGGCAGAATTAATTTTGATTCAATGGAAATAAAAATTAATAATATAAACTTCATGCATCCCTAAAAGAAGTCACTGTGTTTGTTTACAAAATGCTATCCGTAGCGATTCTGGCGTGAACGTTAGTGACATATACACAATGCCCCAAACACTCCCGTAACGGGAAGAGCCATATA